CCAAACCCAAACCCAAACCCAAACCCAAACCCAAACCCAAACCCAAACCCAAACCCAAACCCAAACCCAAACCGATGACCCAATTTATGACATCATCAGAAATATATGTTATTAAAATTTTTATTTAGTTTAATAATAAATATAAATAATTAATCAATGCCTAAACTTAATCTATTTAAACCATGCTATGTAGTTGCTTAAATCTTCTATCTGTTTCATTTTTTAGGCTTCAGGGAATAGAAAGGAAAAGTACTATTTAAATTAACTCTTTGATGAATTATGTAACATTACAAAAGGAGTAGATATTTCGATAACAGCAATTCTTTTTCTCTTACAATATCTAAGAATATTGACCGCTAATTAAGGGCCTCATTTATATGATCTCTGTGATTTCTAAGCTCTTTAGTAAAATATACTATTTTAGTAACTTGAAGATATTTTAAATTCAATTTCATTATAGAATTAGAAAGATCAATAACATTCATTATAAATTATTGTATTGATTCTAATTTATAAATAAATATCAAGATAATCCAAGATTAATAAGAAAGGTGAACTTATTTTTTTAAATAAAGTGAATAAGATTTTAGAAAATATTAGAATAAACAAGAGCATTAAAAAATTGATGTGTATAAAAACACAAATAAATTTTATAATCTAAAGATAACTTCAAAAATCTTGAAAATTTTAAAAAATTGATACAAAGGACTATTATTAAAAAAATTCTCTTGTGAACCCAAATATATTATAAATTTCCATTTAGTATTTATTCTGTATAAGTTTCGTAAGTTTCTTGTTGGAAATTCTGTGCGCTTAAAATCTTTATATGAAAAACTAATCTTAGTATAATACATCCGCACATGTTTATTTAAATGGAACAATAATAAATAAAAAAAATAAAGAAAAGATTTTTCAATTAATGATTCTCGAAAATATATCTACGCTATGTTAAGATAATAAGATTCTGATGAAGACGTAATAGTGATATAACAATTATAGTTTTTTTTGTATTTTGGGCAACAATGTTCATTATGCATTGTCAAGTATTTTTATTTATAAATAGTCAATCACAAATAATTGTTAAGATATATAATATAAAAATTTTAATAATTAGTATATTATCAAGTCCACCGTTAGTATTTCTTTATGATAACAAATATTATTGGGAATAAATATTGTATTTGAAAAAAAATTTAATAGGAACTTCTATTATGAAATTATTTAAAATAAAGTATTTCAATTCATTAGTCTAAGACTATTTATAATTTTAATACTTTATTTTCTACTAATATATTAAAGAATGCCCAAAAATAATAAGTCTTTATCCCAAGAAAACAAGTTCAATCTTTTGTTTGATAATTATTTATTAAAATTCTATATATGTTCTATTCCTGTTACTTTGAAACTATAAATTAGATAATTTTAATGGTTTACATCCAAATGCAATTTAGAATCACAGGGTTCTTATTTAGTTAGAATTATTAAAAAGAAATTTGGTAATATCTCTTGAATTAGTATATGAATTTTATTGATTATGAAGATTAGAGGTATGAATACTATTAAGAGAGTTTAATAATAATTCATCATAAATTACGACTTGCTGAGAATATATGTTATTTAATAAGTCAACATTCCAATCTCCAAATATTAACTTTACTGTAATTATTCTTATTTTCGCAAAAGTAACCTGCTGATATAACTGATTGTCGCTTTATAAAATATCCTCTTTTCGTATATACATCTATCAATATTTGTTATCATTTCTAGTTAACAATCATATAACAATTTACAATATAAAGAAAAGGGGTATAAATTAATCATTGATATTGCTCTTTTAATTGCATTTAATTTTCCTTAATTAAAAATATTTTTGAAAACTTAAATATTGTTTATATATAAAACTTATTCTTATTTTTTCCTCTTATTCTTTAGTAATTTGAATATTCTTTAAATAGACACAATAAAATTTACATAATTGTTTTAATTATTTTAAGGTATTTAAAGCATTTTCTTAATAATAAAAGAGATTATTAATATAATAAAATTTAATTGAAATAGAGAATGTCAATAAGAGAAGTATTAAATAGTAAATTAGAAAGTAATTTCAATGAAACAGAGTAACATTTAGATGTATTTATATGTTATTGTAATACTTTTAGATTTCTTTTGATAAGATTATCAATTTTATAGATTAAATATTCATTTTTGATTTTCCAATTTCTAAGTTTAATAATCAAAAACAAGAATCATTATAACCAAATTTTGATTAATTCAAATTAATTGGTTAATCTTAATTTTAATCATAGATAATTTAAGATATAGCACCATTAATGAATAGTTAAATTAAACATTAACTTTAAATTCAATTATAATCAAATTAAGATCATTAATAATAATTCATCAAATCATAAATATCATAAGTATAATAGCCATAAGAATAATAAATTAAATCTTTATCTAATATTAAATCATTTAACTATTAGATAATTAATCATAATTATATTTAATAACAAGAATATTGTAATTTAGTTGCTTTTAATAAAGATGGCTCAATTTTAGCAGTTGGATGTGACAATTTAATAAATTTATATGAATTCAGTCAAGGAATGTTGAAATACAACCAATCCTTAAATGATCATTAAGATACAGTGAACACTTTATATTTTATGAGACAATCCAATTAGATTATATCTGGAGATTAAAATGGATATATTTGATTTGGTAGAATAATAATAATTATTAATGGAGTTGTTCATAAACACTTAAAGAACATAAAAATTGTATAAATTGTTTAATTATGAATAATTATGATGATATTATAATATCTAGTAGTGATGATTATACTATTAAATTTTGGATTTTACAAAATGAATGGATATGTTCATAAACTATCACAGATCATAAACATTGCGTTTATTAACTAAATATGAATGAATAATAAAATAAAGTTATTTCATCTGGGTGGGATCAATTAATATTAATAATAGAATATTCAGAATATAATAAAAAGTGGATGGTTAGATAAAAAATTAAAGTTGATTGTTAAGGATTACGACTATGTTTTATCAATGATAATCTTTTCACATTTCAACCAAAGAAAGGCAATTTGATGCATGTCTATGAGATGAATATTGTAAGTAAAGAATTTACTAAAACCAAAAATATTAATGTAAATCAAGGTGATGATGGTTATGTATTGTTCCCATAATAATATATAAAATCAAAATACTTACTTGTTAGTAAAAATTATTAGACTGTCAATTTAATAAGAAAGCTAGAAAATGATGAATTTAAAGTTGAATAATCAATTCAATATGGTAGTTATGGATTATTTGGTTAAATGAGTGATGATGGAGAATATTTGATTACTTGGGATTATTCATCAAAAAAAATATAAATTAGGAAATAAACAGAAGAATGACTATTATTAAAATATAAATATTTATAATTATTTTTTAAATATAATGAATCTTAAGCTTTTTTTTTAGATTTGGGCAAACTAGATTGAAAGAAAAATGTTGATTAATTCATTGTAAAAATATAATTTGATAATAGTCTTAAATAATTAAAGTATATTAATTAAAAATATCATGACAGACAGCTTAAAGAGATTCATCGATATATAGCCTATCATTAATAAAATTAATTTCTTGATGAAATCAGACATTTAGTTTGAAATTAATTTATTGACCCGAATAATATAATTAAATCTAGTTTGTTTATAAAAATCAATAAATTTTGGAAGATTTTTATTTAAAATATTTTTAGTTGAATTAAAAGAATATAGTCAAAGTGTCTCTCAAAATTTAAACAGAATTTCACTAAATTGAATTAAATTAAATTAGGAAGAACCAAAAACTAATAGATATGGATAAGTCATAAGACAAATTTGAGTAATTTAAATATGCTTATAAATTAAATTGATATATGATAAATCTATATTAATTCTATCAAAATCATAGATTATTTTTAATATGATAATCGCTATTTCAAGATTAAACCATTCCAATGAAAAAATGGATTCTAAAATTTATTTTTTCGCCACAGTCTATGGTCTATTGTGTCACTCCAAAAATAATTATCAAACTTATATCAAAATTAATGAAATTTTTTAGGATATCATAAATTAAACTTTTCCGAAATGAAAATTCATTAACTAATTTAAATTAAATTATACAATAACTTTTTAATTCAAAACTTTTATAGTATTTGAAGATTTATTATTATTATTTATCTTATTAAATCATCTACTTCAATCCTTGTAAGAGATTTTCAATTTACATAAGGAACTTGGAAAATAATAGAGATACCTGGTGATTTATAAAATAGGATTAATTTAAAGAATGGTACAAATATAATCCTTCAAAACATAAAATTATTATTTTAGAAATGCCCATTATTGATTGCTTATATAGTTTATCCAAATAATAAGTCAAGAAAAACAAAAAGGTTTTTTTTTCTTGACTTATATTGTTAGTAATCATTTCCTGTATTTAAACCTTTTGCTTATATGGCTAATCAGCTATCCTTTTTAAAAATCCAATATAAATTTAGTTCATTCTGGAGTTCTAAGTCTTTAATATCTATATATAGTGATAAGATTAATTATTATCAGTAGATTCGAAAGATTCATTATAAAATACTCTGTAAAATTATAGGATCTTTTATGCTGGAAATATTAATGGCTAAAATTGAATGATTTTTGGTTACATGAATAATAAACATTTTTAAATAAGGATTAACATTAATGAGCAACCAATAAGCAAATAAATCATTTTATATAGATCCGCTAAGATGAATTTAATAAATAGTAAATACTTTATATTAATCAAAACAATATAGTATGTTATAACCTTGTGATATATATATATAAATATTTAAATTAATATCCTAGAAATTGATTAATTTAATAAATTGAATTTAATCAATAAATATAATTTAATTTTATAATTAATTTCTATTTTCTTTTATAGTGGATTATTTAAATAAGTTTAATTGTCTTCTATCGTTTTTTCATATAATTTTCATAAGTCTTTTATATTTATTCTATCAGATCGATAATAAGATTGGAGGCTAATTTTAATGAGATAATTCCTATATGTCGCCATTCAAAAAGTAAAGTGATATTATCGTTCAAATAGTAACTATTGCCTAATTATTCATAATTTAAGTTTAATTTTTGTTGTCTAATTATAGTAATTAAATTTATTCTTGTTGATTATTATTTACTATAAACCATTACATTATATATTATTTTCGTTATTAATCATTTCAATTTCTACTTATACTAAGTAAAGGACATGAATAGATTGTATAAATATTAAAGGATTGTAGTAGTAGTATTAAGAAAATTTTTCCCCAGATGTGATTTAGTATACTTCTCTCCTAATGATACATTCAAGCCTATCGTCAATTAAAAATATTCTAAACTTCATTTAATTAGGATCCTCTATCTTAATAATAGATTAGGTGTTTAATAAAAAAATATCTATTTCTATCAAAAAAATTCTTTGCTTTATATAATTTATAAAAATGTATAATTATTGGAATTTATTATGATTATTTAATGAAAAGTATTGAGACAAAGATATTAAAATAAATATCTTCATAATGGTGTTTTTGATCAGCTAGTGTTTCATTACGAATTCATTGTACAAGTTAAATGCAATAAGATATTACTCTAATAAACGTAATTTAATTAGCTTTTCTTTCTTTAATTTATTGTGTAATTTGAAATAATTTCAACTTACAAATAAAATAAATATCATATTTCTCTGCTTCTAATAATCATCAATAGTTTTATTTTTTTTTTAATTTCCCTAAATAATAATTATTTTTGAAATTACTAAATTATTTTAATATTATACAATATATTCATATGAAAAATTTCCAGAAACCTCTATATTATAGGGGAGGGCAAAAGTACTTTACCGTTAATTTATTCAATAGTCTGAATCATTAATGTTATTAAGAGGTCTTCAATTTAAAAATTTAATTAACCACTTCTATAGAAATGTAATTCTAAATTATTCAATAGTATTTACGGTCTTGTATAGATAATTAATTCTCCTTATATTTTTACTTAATGATTAATGATTCGATTTTATCTTCTCTAATTAAATTGTCTAAAAAATATCAAATTAGTGTAAACTTACTGTCAACTTACTGTCAACCCGCACTGTTCTTAACTAGCCTCAACAATATTATATTTTCATTTTGATTCGCTTTAAGGTTTCATCAAAAATTCCCTATGACAATAATTATTAAACCATGAGTCTTACAGTGTCAAGTGGAAAAGGCCCAATTTGAAGTAGAATATTATTAATAACCATGCTTTTACTTCCATCTTCTTCTACTAAATTTTCTTGTTTGATTATCTTAATTTTACATTCTTATATTTTGAACATTTATTACATAAAAGCAATAGGATTATTTTAAAAAAAAACTTCTCCTTGTTGAAAATCTCTTTAAATTTTCATCGATTCAAGTAGAATATGTTACTCAATTTATTGTAAATTGGTTTAATATAATTGAACTTATAATCTCTTATGATTACAATATTCATGTAATAAAATAATTACTACCTTTCTTAAATGCACATTAATTATATTTTGGTGTAAAATATTTTTCATAAAGAAAGTTTCTGTATTTAGATTTCAGATTACTGACATATTATGCTTTATAGTATAGATAAGTGTATATGAATCTTTTGCTACAAACTCCAAATCCTATTAAATTAATTTATATTAAAAAGTAAATTTATCAAAAAAAAACTGAATATTATATGAATTATTGAATTCTCAATTTTAGAAACGAAATGAGTGTATGTTGAATCTAATCTAATTAATAAAAAGATTAGAAAGAATTTCTATATTATCAGATTGAATAAACTTCATCATAATTAATTATGATGAAGATCAGAAATTTTTTTATACTAAATATCCCATCACTATCCTAAATAATTAGTATTATCGTTAATTTAATGTAAATTTATCTTATAGAAATATGTAATATAAAGGCTAAGCAATCAGAATATAGGCCATCAAATTTAAGGGCTATTATAAACTTTTTAAATCCTCTCCTCCCACTTATACATTGGAGTTTTAAGAACTAAAACATAGAGTTATTTTTATTCTCTCAATTTACTGGATCTAATCCTTAGTTTTATAATGATGTCTATAATAAATATAGCAATATTAGATTAAAATGCATGCTTCTAAAGAATAGCTATCTATTGATCTAATTTCTCATTTATGATTTTTTCAGTATCTTCCCCCTTCTATTTCTATTAATACTCTCTTTAGATATACTTGATTATTCAAACTAATATAATCTGATTTTTTACAATCTGGTCTACTCAACTATAAAACCCTTTTTATATACACTTTATATTATAAGATATACTTTAAAACTGATTATTTTTAATCTTCCAATCTTTGAATTTGATCTCCTTTTCCTATCAAAGAATCAATCTCATATAGAGTTCTACAATAGTCCTCAAATCCTGTTTAATCTATTCTACAAAATGATGAGCTTTACTTTTGAAAATATATATTTAAGGAAAATAAAATAATCAAAATTACAATTACAATTAGCTTCTTTATAAAAATTCTCACTGTCATGTCAAAACGTATGGAGCTAATTCCAACTGTGGAGTATTTATTAGGTCAATAACGATTTTAAACTACATTGAGCACTAGTTCTTTATGCTTAAAATATTGGTAATTGAAAAATAATCAGAATAGTAATAGTGAACTAATTTTTTTTTAAATATAAGCAAAATAAAAAAAAATAATTTGATGCTTTTTTATTTTTATATTATTATTAGACTTCTCACAAATTTCATAATAAAAAAAAAAATTAGGGTTGATTTAATGATTCCCCCCTTTTTTGTGTTATCTGAAATGAATTTTAATAGATGGTTATTTTAATTGTAATCTAAATTTTTTTCTACTGATATCATATCTTGATTATTAAAATATACTAAATTTTTTTATTGTTAATCTATTTTCGTTTACAAAATATCGCTTTGGTAAATTATTGCCCTTATAATTTCAATAGATTTAGAGTATTATGAAAGATTGAAGACAAATGTAGATAGCAAACCAAGTGTCTTTCCTGTATATGAGTTAAAACAACTATCTTCAATAAAAGCATTAGAATCAACTAATTTTGATGATGCCTTTATATTTAATTCTAAATTTTTTATTAGTATTTTATTTTCATATATGAAAGCTCTACTAAATTTGTAATGAAGTGACCAAAACTGTTATTCAATTATGTCTAGTACATAAATATTCGATAATTCTTTTCTAGTGTGCTTTCGCGATTGAAAAGACTTATAATCCATGAGGCGGCCTAAAAATAATTATTTTTTTAGAAAAATACTTATAAATCTTTTTTTATATTTTTCATAAACACTGTTGAGTATACTTTTAATAGAATTTGCCTAAAGTTATGATTAGTGATTTCATAGTTTTGATTAAATTCTTCTTGGCTTAAAAAAAATTATCTTTATATCAAATATGAAAAAATGAAATTCTAAGATAACCAGGCTTATAACAGGCTTTCAGAATTTGAAAGAATTTGGAATTATTTTGATTCATAGAATATCGAATAATTTAGTAAACTCTGAGAATTATAATTATTAATATTTATGAATTTTATTTTATACACTAAATTCTTTATCATCTATTATTGATCATTTGTATTTTCTTTAATCTAGATACAAATTTAAATAATACTTTTTTCACTTAGATGTTAGTATTTTATTTTATTTTAATATTTGTACACTATAATTAAAAGCTTTATTTTTAGTATTAATTAAATTATTGTGTTACCACCTCAATTTCTCATTGTGAAGTTCTCAAATCATGCTCTTTTATATATTGGATGAAAAATTCTTAATCATTAATTTTCAATTATAATAAGTTTCATTTGTCTCACAAAAAAATATACAATATTATCAAAGACTTACTTTATTTTTTGTTAAAGCTAACATTCACTTTAACTAATCAAAAATAAAAATAAAGGAAAATTATGATGAAAGGTTTTGTTAAATAGATAGGATATCAATATAGAAATTTATATAAAATAGAATGAAAATTATAAGAAATATAATTGTAATTTTAATATGTAACGTAAATATTAATCATCATTTTTACTTTGAATGTAATTAGCTTTCCAAAATACAGCTGCCTTTTTGTCTAAATAATGTCACTAAATTAATCCCTGATTAATTTTTAAATTCACTTTTCAAAATTAATGCTCTCTATGCTTAAAAAATTGCTTATTTGGATATTAATAAATAACTTAGATTGGTCATTTCTAAAAAAAAATATACAATTAATACCTGGTAGAGAATTGTTTTCAGCCGTAAATTATATCAAATCATCTTTTTAAATAGTATTTGTGGTTTCAATTTCTTTTCCTACCTTAACATCCCATAGACGGATAGAGTTATCTCCACTACCAGATGCTAATTTACAACCATCAGGAGAGAAGCATACTGAAAATACACGATTAGTATGACCATCCAATTTGGCCTTTTACTTTCCTGTCTCAACATCCCATAAACGAATTGATTTATCAAAACTACCAGATGCTAATGTACAACCATCAGGAGAGAAACACACTGAGTTGATATTACTACTATGACCTATCAATTAGTTTATAATTTATTCTGTCTGAGCGTTCCATAAAATGATAATATAATCTCCTTTCCCTGAATAAAGATTTCCACTACCAGATGCTAATATATTACCTTTTGAAGAGTAGCATACTGATAGAACATCATTACGATGCCCTTTTAATTAGCGCTCTACCTATCTTTTCCTAATATTCCATAAACATAAATAGGTATCAATACCAGATGCTAATTTAGTTCCATCAGGAGAGAAGCATAATGAGTAGACAGTTCCACTACCTATCAATGAACGCTTTTAATTTTTTTTCTTAACATTCCATAAAAGGATCAAGTTATCATTACTAATAGAAGCTAATGTATATCCATCTGGAGAGAAACAGACTGAGTGGACATAATTAGTATGACTTTCAAACAGGTTCTTTTATGTTCCTGTCTTAACTTCCCATAAACGGATAGACCCATCCTAACTACCAGATGCTAATGTACGACCATCAGAAGAGAAGCATACTGAACAGACTTTATTAATATGACCCTCCAATTTGGCCTTTTACTTTCCAGTCTAAACATCCCATAAGCGAATTGATTTATCAAAACTACCAGATGCTAATGTACAACCATCAGGAGAGAAACACACTGATACAACAGAATCATCATGAAAATCCCCTTAGGTCATTACTTATTCTGCCTTAGCATCCCATAGACGAATAGAGTTATCTTTACCACCAGATGCTAATGTACAACCATCAGGAGAGAAGCATACTGAAATGACATTATTAGTATGACCATCCAATTTGGCCTTTTACTTTCCTGTCTCAACATCCCATAAACGAATTGATTTATCAAAACTACCAGATGCTAATGTACAACCATCAGGAGAGAAACAAACCGATACAACAGAATCACTATGACCATACAAATAATGCTTTGCTTTACCTGTCTTAACATCCCATAACCGAATAGACTTATCATCACTACCAAATGCTAATGTAGTACCATCAGGAGAGAAGCTTATTTAGTGAATAGTATCACTATGATCAGATATAATAATTGTTGTTCTTTTTTCTATATCCCATAAATGAATTGAGTTATAACCGTTGCCAAATGCTAATAGAGTACCATCAGGAGAGAAGCATACTGAGCTAGGATTTTTTCCATACCGAGGCAATTTGGTTTTTTATACTCCTGTTTTAGCATTCCATAAACAGATAGACTCATCATCACTACCAGATGCTATTGTAGTACCATCAGGAGAGAAGCATACTGAGAAGACATTATTAGAATGACCATAAAACTTTGCTTTTTTTTTTCTTGTCTTAACATCCCATAAACGGATAGTCCAATCCTAACTACCAGATACTAATGTAAAACCATCAGGAGAGAAGCATACTGAACAAACTTCATAAGTATGACCATCCAACTTGGCCATTTACTATCCGGTCTTAACATTCCATAAACGAATTGATTTATCTTAACTACCAGATGCTAATGTACAACCATCAGGAGAGAAACAGACTGAGTTGACATAACTACGATGACCATCAAATTTATTAAGCTCTTGTATTTTTAAATTGGTCCATTTACAATTAAATAACAGCGCTCCATTCAAATTCATACCATTTATATCTACATTCTAAAATTACGATCCACTTAAATTACATCCAAAAAAATTAGCTCCCACTAAGGAAGTATTCTAAATTTTGATATTTTCATAATTTTAATTTCTTAGGTCCACCTTTATTTAAGTTAATAAATTTAATGCATTTGACCCACATAAAATAAACTTATTATCTATTGATGTTAAGCGAACTAAAAATTTTAAAAACTCTTTGATATAATGCTAATTTTCTATTATTTTAATTAGATCCTGTCTCTATTCCTAATATCTTTTATTAGAATAATCTTATTTATTAAAGTCATGATCTTTAATTTTTAGAATGACATTAATAACTTTTTTGATGTTTTTTCTAACTAAACATAAGTTCTATTCTATTTCTTCTTTTGTTAAATTCTCTCTTTGTTAAATGTACTCTTCAAAAAGTCTTTGATTTTCATTAGCTGTAAGAAATTGAATCCAGTCTTAAACATTCACTTTTTTTAAGATCTCAATTATTTAAATGTACATTTTTTCATTCACACCCTTAACTTGAGCTAAAATTGTTGCTAAGTTATTTTTCTACCTATTTTAGTCATTCATTTTCTTTTGTTAAAAAAATTAATGAAGTTTGATTACTCTATACCTTTGAGTTTTATACTACAAATAAAAAAATATGGAATGCTATATTAATAAAGAAGAATATAGAATAAATATTAATATTGCAAAAGATAGAATTAGATATAAATTGCTTGAAAGAAAAATTTTTTAATACTCTATTTGTACATATTTTCTAAAAAAATTTAATAACTTCAAATCCATTAACTCTAATATAACCTACTATATATATATAGAGATTTTTGTTTTGATCATTATCTTATTCAATTTTTAAGTTTTATTCTAATTGCCAAAAGCAGGACTAATGACCATCGTATCAAATATATATATCAAATATTTAACAAATAATATAGCACTTATAAATGATTTTAGATATTTAATAGAATTAGAAATAAAAATAATATCTATGAAAAGCAAAATTAATTTACATACAAATGTTCTAACATAGATCATTAGTATTTTGTTTGAATTAATTATTTTAAGCTAATAGAGTGCATTACAGTATTACTAAAGAGTTTAAAGTTCATATTCATCATTATTTTGATTTTAAAAAATGATGATTAAATTAAGTTTGTTAAGACGATCGAAAAAGAACTGTAGGTAAGATTTTTATAAATAGGAAATATATCCAATATTACTTAAAATGATTTGATTCTTATTTAACATATTCAAGATAAATATTATCAGACCTTTTGAATTAGGATTCAATCAAAGAAAATCTTTAGACTTATTTAGATTAAGATCTTAAAATAATGAGCTTAGCTCTCAAATTACGATAAGTAGGATAAACCTAAAATTAAAATTTTTAAAAAGGGATTTTTATTACATAATTGAGTTTCTTTTTTTAAGAAAATTTCTAGATTAGAATGTTTAATGACGGATATTGATTTGTAGATATTAGACAATAGATTCATGACACCAAAACAAAAGAAAATTAAATTATATTTGCTGAATTTGATAAATCTATATTTAGAATGTAATTTTAGATTTATATATATATAGATAAAATTGTTTAAATATCTAAATCTCAATTATAATAAATCCAACACTTTCTATAATTTGGAATTTAGAAGGATTGCAGGATATAGGAGCATATAGTAAAAATTTAAAAATTAGTAAATAATAAATGTATTTTTATATAAATTTTAGTTTTGGGGGATTATAAGATATTAATTAAAAAATAGATAGTATTATAATAGGAAAATTGATTGATCATCATAATTCTTTTTTTAAGTAATTAGATTTTATTTTGTTTTTCTAGATGCTAGATATCCATTATTCATAAACTCTATTAGTTTAATCAATTAAATCAGTTGGAAATCCAAAACCAAGACTCTTCCAAAAGAATTCTTTTTCAGGATTTACCATAATTTAGTAACCCTTATATTAATTACTACTACATTAACTTAGCAGATCAAAAGAAACCCAAAAAACTTCAATATTTTTTTTCATAAACATTTTGACAAAAGTATGTTATTACTTACTTCTTTCTTTATATATTAGCATCTATATATCCCAAATTTTTGCATTAACTACTAAAAATTTTAGAATTCACTATTTATATATTTCAATATTAATTAATTCTTTATTATATGTATATTACACATCTAAAAAAATTAAATATTAGATGATATTTTTGGCAATCCTAATAATAGATACTATTTTCCTTCCAGCCAATAGATTTTTCAATATATAGGCACATTATCACATTTAATAATAATTTCCTAATTCTCTATTATTTAATCTTAATTGAACATTATGCTTATTAAGTTTTCAATATTAATTCCTTCAAACACTTATATCTAAATAAATAGCAACTCAAAAATGATGAAAATTATTTTTAATCATGATATTCTTATTAGGATTGGGTCATGTCTATAAAAACTAGATAGAAAGCAATGAAAACTCTTTTTTTTTTCCCATAAATTAAATCTATAAAATGATTTTAATAGAGTATTTTCTGTCAGTAGTGTTATAAGCATTAAACATACCAATAAAAATAATATTTTGCTTTAATTCTTAGAATCAACCTTCCAAGCGTATCTCTGCAGAAGAAATCACCTTCAGCTTTTCTTTAAACACCCCTTCCACACTTAGCAAAAATATAAATTACTATATGTCTATGATGTCATATTTGTTCAACTTTATTATTCTCATTACCAAACCATATCCATTTTCTTTCCATTTGTCTAAATCATATAAATTTCAATCATATTATTACTTTTCTTTATATATTTACTATATATAATGTAGAGAGATAGAATAAATAAGATAGCTTTATTATCTATTTATCTATATCTCTATTATCATCCTTTATTTTAGTTATCTACAAATTTCCAAAATACCCCTATTTGTTCATTTCACTCCAATTGTTGCGTTCACTCATTATTTATTTAAACTAAATTAGTAAATCATCAATTTTCTTGATAATATTGAGAATGCTCCACACATTCTTATATATCGTAATCTATGTGGTGTGATAAACTACCTTATGAATTTTATATTTCATTAATTTAAAAAATGATTATAATCGAATTAATAGATATAAATTATTTAGATAGATAATCCAATTCCTTTTTCCTTTTTGCTAATTTTTATTCCAAGATTTTTAATTTGCTTATAACATAACAAAAATTAAATCAAAAAAAACTTAACTAAACTAGTTTACATTACTAAATACAGAATATTAGGAATAAGTGTCAAATATAATAGCAACAAGTATTAAAATTTTTACCTTTTTCTAGAATTTAGAATATAAAAATTTACTTTAATAATGACTTAATATATCTCATTTGGAGCCTTTAAGACATTTAGTTCATATATTGATAGAAAATAATTATAATTATCAAAATTGAAAAATAGGAAATGATAACAATAAATCAAAAGTTAATTTATTGAATGTTTTAAGCTATAATAATTTTAAATGTTCAAATAAACTCAGAATCTATTATGAACTAAAATTTAGATAATAATTTATAATTTCTTCCAAATAAATTATCTTTTTTCAAAATTTTTTTCATGATATTAATCATCATGAAAAGTTGAAAATCGAAACCTTAAATCTCCTTATATAACCTTAATACAATATATTTAAATACTCAAACTGATATAAAATATTTAATTGTTCATACAATTTAATTAAATGCAAATAAGATAATTTATCAACATAATTATCTTTTAGTGAATTATAACAAAATCCAAAATAATTTACAATTTTGATAAATAAGATTATTTGATTGAAAAATAGATTGTTCTTCATTCATATTTTTTCAAACTAGCATTTTATCAAGAAAGAACTCTTTTATAATCATTATATATTTTTCAATCACCCGCAATTCAGCTTAACATAAAAATCGCAACTTAAATTTATATTGATTGATTTATTATAATTTAAATATATTAAGAATTTCCAATATCAATAATAAGGAGTTGAGGTTTTATATTATTATTATTATTCTTCCATAATCATATACCATATACAAATAACCATTTGGATTAAGTTTTTTTTTAAATAAATGATAAAAAGTACTCAAAGTACATTATAGATTTTTATTCTAAAAATGCTTTCACAAAAAAATAGAATTTAGATTTAAAGCTATTCAATTATGTCCACTTGGCATAATTAGTTAGATTAAAATTTTTTTTTCAAGATAGAAGAGAGTTGATCATATAATTAAAGAAGTTGATACTTTTTTATGGAAATTTTATTAAAAGAACGATTGTTAGTGTGATTAGTTTTTCACTTGTCTAACTTTATTTTTGCCTAATTATTATGAAGATTTTATTCGATTAATCTCTTAAATTTTTACAAATTAATCATCCTTCAAATAAAATTATAAAATGTAAATATTAACCACATAATATAGAATTTTTATTGGACTAATGGGTTTTCTTGAAACGCATATTGATTGGAAAGTATGTCAAAATGGACGAAATCTGATTATGAAAGATAAAAAAATTAATTCGTTACATCAAATACTCATATGAATTCAGATAAAAGCAAAAGAATATTAATTTTATTATTGATTACAATCTACGGAAGTAGAGTAAGTTTCTTAAGTATCTTATTTCTTATATCAAATAATACTATTATAAATCTTGATTTTAGATAATTGGTATGCTTTTTATTTATAAAATTTTTTATGAACTTCCTTAACCTATTAAATACTACGAATATAAAATAAGTCAATAAAAGATCAAAATATTGATTAATTATTGATGAATGTAATATTATTACTCATATTAACTTAAAATATACACATTATTTTTATGAGTATGTTTTGCTTGTATCTATAGATTGTAATTAAATTAGTTTTGATTATTCAGGAGGAATTTCTAAGACTACATCTTTGGAGATATCTATCCTTACTCCTTCTAGGTTATTGACTTCAAATTTACTCGTTTCTTAATATGTACTAGATTCTTTATTTTCATAAAAGATAGCAACTCCAGTAGGAAACTTTACAATATAAAGGAATATATATATTCTATTTTATGTATAATATTATATTTTTCCTTAAAAACTTCTTTAGAACTTTTAATCTGGATTATGAAGTACTTGTTTAAAGATATCTTATTCAGATTTAACCTCAATAATTTATGTTAAACATTTTAATGCAAAACTAAATGCACCTCCATCTTGTTTATTAACTCTAACTATAACAATAGTTTCAGGATTGCATTAAACTTGAACCTCACCAGAATTTTAATAAGGAAAACAGATTTCTAAGTTTTATATTTTTTCCATTTGAAGAACTTACTAAAATATTTTTGTGGTTGTTTAATGTTTATACCAAAAATAATTATATCCAGCCACTTCTCCTGAACGTCTTATGATTCCTGGTTCAATATCCTTAATTACTTCATCATCAGTGTCTCTCTGATGTGCTGTTAATAATCCATCTAAAATTGTCTTAATTGCTATTTCCTCTTGACCAAATAGAAATTATAATTAAGAAAATTAAACTAAATTAGATCCATAAGAAGAAAAAGCAAGATATCTATCATAATTTTAACCCCACTCTACTTCAACATATAATGTTTAATATCCAGGTTCAAATATTTTTTCAACAAACAATATCCCTATCATTTTCAAAAGCATGGCCTGAATAATTTAATATCTCTTTAGTATTTTTGTCTAATTCACCAATAATTAATCTGCTTAAGGAATATTAATGACCGTTTTAGAACAATCGTTTATCTGATTATGTCAATGAAATAGATGGATGTGTTTTCTGATACACCTTCATTAAGACTACTTTTTTGGTTACAGTGTCTAATTTATCAACTTTAAGTGTTGTGGCTGTATATAAATAATCTGGATTAAACTAGCACACACAAACCTCACAAAATTCTGTTAAAAAATCTTTAATGCTCATCCAAAATATTCCATCATTTTTCCAAAACACTTTGTCCTTTTTTTTGACAATAACCTCTATCTAAGTCCTGGTGTCCATTTTACAGAATAATCATTCCAGTCTTTTGTCCATTCTTTTTTAGTCCAAGGCTATTCAAATTTACATTAAATGATATACATTTCTTATCTTAATGATTATATCTGGTATCCCATCACTTCCAGTAACCTTTTGTATATCTAAAATTGCCTAATAATGCTATTGATCTTTTTTTAGTGAAGATGCCGCCAATATGTATTTTTGTTTGAAATTTTTTTCTATGAACTCCAAACATAATTGATATCTTATTAGGTTTCACCATTTCTAATAAAATATTTATTAAGAGCTTCAGTTAAATCTCTTAAGGTGCAACCTACTATACCTGATTCTATTTAATTATACATTCAAATTAAAAATTTTGATTATTTTCTTAAACACATTATAATTTCTTGAAATTTATCTAAAACATGTATAAGACCCATATAGTTTAGCATAAGCTTTTCCCAACAGAAGTACCCATTTTCTGTCTTCTCTTGAGAATATTGGACCTATACTGCAAGGAATATAATCATCCACAACAATTTCTTGCCAAAATCCATTTATACACATATAAATTCCATAAAGGCCTTAAAATTTAGGTACTACTCTTACCACTTTATTAATACTCTTGATTTATGAATAGTTTCTTGATTTAAAAGGGGGCAAAACAGATGAGGAACTTAAAAAAATAGCAATCCTCAAGTTCACCTTGTTTAATATGAATTGGATCTATTGACTATTGATTAATAGAGATTGTTACATCAAACAAGTTAATTGAACCAGGCTATAAAAATTGATTAGGTCTTTTCCAAGTAATTTCTTTTCCTTTCTTAAAATTGGGATTTGAGGAAAGGCTGCTTCGAACAGGAGAAAATTAAGTATCCTCAAATATTTATTATTATTTTTTGTATGTTGAATGGATTTAGTGCTTGGACTATATAATGATTTTAATACTTAATTAATGGCATAAATTCTTTCATTCCTTTATTTAAATTTTCAGAAAAAGCTTTAATTTCTTATTTCCACCAATTCTAAACCTTTTCCAGCTTTATCAAATTAGAATTTTTCAAAACATTCCAATCATCTAATATTTATCCTATTACACTTTAGACTAATTTTTCTAAATCAGAATATGATAATTCTGTTGGATTAAAATCTTCTTTTTTGAATTTCAAATAGAATTTATCTTAATTCTCAATGAGATCATATAATTATTTTATTGATTCTGATAACTCACACCAAAATTCTCCAGCATGATTTGAGTTTAATAAAGCACTGATTTAAAATTCATTCTCTATTTTATTAATTCAGATGTATGCTTAGCTTTCACTCCATGTTCATCAAGGCTTTCAGCACAAAATTTTTTTTAAAATTAACATTTATGAGGAGCTATACATATTAATGATATTTGATTTTGAAATTGATAAGCGCAATTCATTATTTTATTTTATATAGATTTCTATTAAATTTATACAATAAAATAAAAAAAAGTATCTTATGCATTTTTCTTAGACTGAAAACAAAACTTAATTGAGATTTGGAGTTGATTGTAACTGAGGTTAAATTGCCTTGTGTGAAAATCAAAATTTTTATTCTTATTTTAAGAGTATATAATAAATACATAATTGAAATTATTAATATACAAAGATTCTAGTAAAAAAATACATTTGTATTGTCTCTATCGGCGCTCCATTATATTAATTATTAATCTAAATACTGTATTTAAATCAATTAATCGCTTTATTTTTGACTACTTTTCTTCAAGCTCTTAGATGTTTTAGTTTTGATTGGCTTATGCTAAATTTTATTTCTAATATATTAAAGTAGCCCTTTGTTAAAATTCTATGATGATTAAAATATTAATTGCTAGTGAATATGGAAACTATTTTTATATATATAAATAGAAATTTTATGAAAAATGCTACAGACTCAGAAGTTGGTATCTGCAAAATTTGAAAAAGAGAAATATAAAAAAGAACTTCAAAAGGTAAGGGTAATATTTTCTACCTACATTAGATTTAATAATTTGATGTAAAAAAGGAAGTAATAAGTTATAAATATAAATATAAATTCATAATTATCCTAGTTAAAAAAACTATAATGGCTGAAGTTAATCAAAAGTAATGGGTCTAAGATGATTTTTTATTAGTTAGAAATAATAAATTCATTAATTAATATAATTTAGCTATAATACTGTTATTGATTTTATATTAGATCTCATCTATGTATTGGTCTATCATTTCAACTATTAATTAGTTTCAAAGAAAAGAAATTAATCTACTTTTTTTTAGTTTGTCTAATTTCGGCAAATTAAAGTATTTTAAAAACACTATATCTTTAATGATAAATTTATTACTTTGTTAAAGTAAAAAATTTTGAAATAATTTTGAAATTATTTTCTAATTGAATTTATGTATTCTAAACAGTTCAAAGTTGATTCATATTCTATGTCAAATCTCATATTGTTTTAAGTTAGTTTAAAAAAAAATGAGAAATTCAAAATATATTTATTTGCCTTTGGATTTTTGAATAACAATTTTATAAACTAACTTTATAGACTATAAATTAAATGTTATAAAAAGAATAACCAGTATTGATAATATCCTTAAAATTATATCAACTTTATTACTAATGTTATTTTATATTTAAGATTAAGATATAATTCTAACTTTTTCATTATATTTAATCAACACTCTTACTCTTGTTCTATAATTATGCAATAAAAGAATTATAATTAATATAAGAGATTAATTATAAAACTTTTGATAATTTTTCATTTTGATATTTAAACAATTAAAAATATTTTATGAAAATAAATCTTGATTTTAAAATAATTTTAAATTGAAATTATATTTTTATTAATTTAAAAAATTTATAAGCAATGTATGTAAATTTGATAAATCATAAAAATATTTATTCTAATGGTTTTTATTACTATTTTTTGGCAAGATTGTTCTTATAATTCTTGATTATCCAATCTTTTACTTTATTGATAAGAATGCTTACATACTTAATTAATGGTGATAGCAATCCAAAACACAATATTACTATTTAAACAAAGCCTATTAAGATTTATTAATTATTTGAAATATGTTTCACAAAATCTGGATGTAAAGTGATGCTCAATAATGTAAAAAATATAATTGGAATTTCAAACCATAAAACTACTATTAGATCAATTTTATCTGTGAAAAGTTTGGTTATTATAATTATTAAAAGATATATTGTATTTATTAATGAAATTAAAATACATTAAATAATTGAATTGTCCTGTGCTTTAATTAAGAAAAAGATAAATAAGAACTTTTTTATGACTATAATCCCTTGATGTCTAATAATTTTAAAATCTCTAATTTTTTGATTCTATGCAATATTAATCATATATGATATAGAAATTGTAAAAAGCCCCAAAATAATCACTATACATAAAGGGATAGAGAGTTAAGTTCTTATGGAATTTTAAGGTTTAGAATAGATATATAGAATAATTTTAAAAAGGACATCCCAACTATTTGCTAAAATCCATACTATTAATCCATTTAATGAAAACATTTTGCCTAAACCTAGGATAAATTAATTTATTTAGTAAAGAATATTCGCAACTTTTACTAATATCCTTGAATGTCCCAATCTATTAAAAATCTTATGATTTAGTGTATTAAATGTCTTATAATATATCTTGATATAAACTTAATAAAAAATAGCAAAAAGCAAGATTGATATAATCTAGCAAATTTAACTTTAAAAATTCATCAGCAAATCTGCATTAATTTAATAATAATAAAATTTTCCGAATGACTCTAATAATTCTTCACCTAATATTAATTAAAATAAATCTATTAAATTAAATTTTTATAAAAATGGTTGAATTGCAATCATTTCAGAAGATTCAAAATATATAAAAACATTTTCTGGAAAAACTATGTTAATAAATCTAAGATATGCTTAATATTACAAGGCATCAAGTACTTCAAAACAATCTGATGGGTTACCAGATAATAATATTATAATACTTGATACACCAATAATTATAAGCAACATTATGTTAAATTGCCTTGCTTTTTAAGAAACTTCCTTTTATTATTGATTTAATACAATTGGATTCTTTAATTTTAATTTAAGTTCTTTATTCAAAATATCTAAATCATAATTATTAACTAATGAAATGTTAAAGGAAATTTAGAAAATTAGATCAACTTCCAATTACTTAAGAAGTTCAATAGTAAACAAATATTAAATATCTTAGAATTTTTCAAAAGTTGGTTCATTTTCAAAATTCATAGAAATTATGTAATTTTAATTTTATATATCAATAATTTAGGTTTTTAGATTTTATGTTAAGTTTTCATAATTTTATTTTAATTTAATATGTTGAGAGGATGTCATCAAAATAAATTATTTATTAAAGGTTACATTTAAAAATTATAATTTGAAAATTGGATTATCAAATTAAAAGCATACACTTCTTTATTACAAATCTGTAATACAATTCCATAAATTGTCAATTTAACATTTTTCTGAGCATCCATCTAAAGTGGATGTATTTCCATCATCACACTCTTCATTAAATGACTGTATTCCATCTCCACATTAATCTTAACATCTATTATTTTTTAATTAATATCCAACATCACAACTTATACAAAATCCATCAATACAATTATTACAATAAAATGAACATGAATATTAGCATTTAAAACAACCATCATAAGGTTCATTATTATCATCATCACATTTTTCATCTGATGCAATAATTTAATCACCACAAATAGATGAGCATTTTTGATCAATCAAATAATATCCATAATCACAATCTAATAATACTATTTCATCTGATATATCTGATTCTGATAATAAACATTTTCCATTTTCACAATTAATGCAATTCTTTTAACATTAATATTAACATTCAAAACATCCATCAAATGGAATTGTATTTGCATCATCACATTTTTCTAGACCTTAAATAATACCATCTCCACAAATTTCAATTGATTAAGGTTCTGATAATAATTAACAATCTTCAATATGACATAATTCTGGAAAACATTCAAAATTTAACAAAATAAAACCTGGTAAACATTTTATACATTATTTATTCCCAAATTCTAATTAACAATTATAATTTGTAGATTAAGATTCTATTAATTAATCATTATTTATTAAATCTAGAAAATTAGGGATGCAAATATTATTTACTAATAAATATGCAGGATTGCAAATTTAACATTTACCAAATTTACATTATAAACAATTTAGAGGACAAGAGAATTAACATTAATAACAACCATCATAAGGAATTTAATTAGAATCATCACATTCTTCAAATCCAACCATTATATTATCACCACAAATTGGTATACAATTATAATTTTAGTGATCATATTACCAATAACATTCCAAACATTTACCTTTTAAACAATTACTACATCCTTCAATACAATCAAATTGTAAATTAAAACAACCATCAAATGCATAAATGTTCTGATCATTACATAGTTCTTCTTTTATTTTTTCTACATCTGCAAATATCTCAAAATCTCTGATTCCAAAATAAGGATACGTATCAGAAGTATTTATATATATAGAAATTAATAAATTAGGAATATTATGTGGAAAGATCCCATCAATAGTTAGAATTGTTTGTTATTATCCACAAATCAAATTCTTGTCAATTAATATTTAATTATTAGAATATATTTGTTCTTAATTGTTAACATTTACTTTCAATAATTGGTTAGAATCCTAAAGTTGAATTGCTATTAATTTAAATCTTATTCTAATTTCTGAATGAACTTTAGAAATAATTGAATTAAATTAAACCTAATCTTCACCAAAAATAGGCCCATAAATTTAGAAATCTAAATAAATATAAATTAGACTTTACTTCCACATCTATAGATTCCTTCAGAAGGTTAATTATTTTTTTGCCAACCTTCAAATTACAATATATTATCCTCACCAAAATAATTACTAATTTATGTCCATTTATCACATTACCCATTTTCATTACAAGAATCACATTATTGAGGACATTGATAGATGGAAAGTGCAAAATCACTAATACCCCAAAATTAAGTATTTGTATCAGAATTTTAAATAATTTAAATTTAGAGCGTTTGGCTATAATGTTAATTAGTATAAGAAAAAGACTATTGAGTTACCCCTAAACTAATAGCATTACATATTTATTGGATAGTGGTTTAATAAGTTTTATCAATTGATTAATTATCAACATATAATGTAATACTAAAATCTGTTGTACAAGAATAGAAAATTAGAAAGACTATTTGAAAAGCAAAGTGAGGAGGAAGAAAAAATGTTTTAAATATCACCTTATTTGAATCTCCACCAAAGATGTTAATATTTAAACATTCAACAACTTAAACATCATCAAATAATATAGCTTCCTAAAATAGCATCCAATCTAATTTACGATTTATATCTACCATCTTGTGATGCGAATTAAGTGTTATAAATCAAGGTTTAACCATTCACTTGTTCCACAGAGTGAATCAAAATGAAATAAAATAAACCCAACCAAAACAAGTTTAGATGATTTTCAAATATAAAGGAAAATGATATTGAAGCCATTATCCACAATATATAAAATAATGATCATAAAATAATCTATATTGATATATATAGTCTAAAATACTATTGAAAATCTTCATGATTTTCAATATTTAATGCGTATTTAAATACGATATATATGTTTTGTTTATTGGAAAAATAGGTCTATGGAATGAAAGACAGCAGCATATATTGATGTTATGGAAAGTAATGATTTTTATTATCTAACAATCAACTTAGGTTTATTGATTTTTTGGACATTTTATTAAAATTCATAGATGCTTAATTCTAATGGTTTCCTTCATAAAGTCATTATTATATATGAATATATTGATTAGAAATTGTATTCTAATTTCAAATATAACATTATAAAAATGAATATGAAAATCGAAAGGGTAATTATATCAATTTGATACTATGATAATTTTACAAAAACAATTTTCTATTCCATAAAATTTATTATAATTAATCCGAATATTATAATAAAAAATATTATTATAAAATGTTTACCTTTAAAGAAATTTGCTATTTTTGGAAATTATGAGATATTAGAATAAGGAAAATTTTATATGAAAAATGTGAACTAATCTGTGTATATGTTACTAATAAAAAGTAAGAATAATTTGATCATTTTAAATTGAAGACTTATTAGAATTTCTTGACCTTTGTTATTTTTCTATATATTTAAGAAATCTTCTTCTTAAAATAGGTTTTATATAAATTTATAGAGAATAAAATTTATATTAAAAAAATTTTTAATATAGGCTATTTATATTTTACTTGTGATAAATAGTTCATATAATAATTAAATTAATAGTTCTGTAAATGCTTCATAAGATGCTGCAAGTAAAAGGAAGATTTAAAGTTAGTTTTCTGAATGTAATACTACAAATCTTTATATATAATTTAGTAATATGAATATATTTATAATTATTGGATTATTTTAGAACTGAGAAGCTATTTACTGGTTAGAGAATATTGGATGAAGAAAAAAAAGTTGTTATTTTCTTTTTATGTTAAGCTTTTGATAAATTTATAAACCATAAACCATAAATTATAATTAAATTAATTGAAATTTGTTATAAAATTTAATTTCATAAAATTCTCGTATTCTGTAAGTAAAGTGTATTAATCATCATCTTAATTAATATGTAGATTAGAAATATTTTATAACCTATTAGATATAATCTAAATATTAATTTCCTTATAAATTATATAATTTTTATCTTTACATAGCTTAGCTTTTTCTCAAAATATTTGAATCTCCTATTTAGATAGCTTATGATGATGATCTTTAAAAAAACACCTGAAAAAAAATGAATTTGTAAGTATACTATTATTATTGCATAAAATAAAATTAATATTTATATATCTAATAAATTATAATGAAATATCTGTAAAATTTGATTTTACACTAAAAAAGTTAGTTTTGGATCTTGACTTTAAAAATATTCATAATTCAATAATGTTTAATGCTATTATAAGAATTCTTTTATAGTAGTATTTTAAGAATAAATTTTGCTACAGTTTATGATGTAACCTCATCTCTATTTTTAAATTATATTTTGTGCTTTATTAGTGTCTGAAAGAAGTGATAAATTTCATCATTTAGAACAAAACTAAAAACTTAAAAGAATTCTTCTCATGAATTTAATTATCAACATACAATCATTTTAAAATAATCCATATACCTATATATATAAGATTAAACTGCTTAAAATTTCTCATAAAAGGACAAAATACCTTATTGAAAGCATTTAAAATAATAAAATACAGATAAATAAGACAAATTCAGAATGACATTTTTGCTGAGCAACTTTATTAGCAATATAAGAGGCTTCAATCGATTTATGACGAAATTAAGCAATTTTATGAAGAATTAATATATCATAATCGTTCAAATTATAAATAATAATAGTTTATGGAGGGTGAAAGTAAGAGATATGAAAACAGATACAATTTTATTAGTTTAAATGAATAAATGTCTTCGGTTTAAAGAATACAATTAAATGTAGTATTTTAAAACACTTGCTTCAGAGTAAATTAACTACTAACTATTAGGAAAATATTTCATTAGAGTATCGATCAAATTGTTTTATTTTTAAAAGTTACTTAATTTCAAATATTTATTTTCACCTTACATTTAATATTTGTGGGGAGTTAACACCAAAATTGAAACAAAACTGCAGTTATGGTTATTGTTATTCTGCAATGTTAACTACTAAAATTAAATGTCTTTAAGAAATAAAAAATGATGATCAACCAATTTCATATTCAGAAGGATGCCCTCAATTTAATAATAATTGTTAGATAAGATTAAAATGATTTTCTTACTTCTATATGTTTGCTAGGATCAAGATTTGAAAATTATTATATATATCTCTGCCTTATTTGTTAATCTGGATATTTTTCTGAAAGATTCCTTGTCTTCCTGAACTTAAATGTGGAAAATGCTTGCAGCAGCATTAATGAATTTGTCTATTGAGGTTGCTTGTCCAGATTTATATATGAACAGTACATGCTAAAATGTTAAAAAGCAAATCATATATATTAATAAAACTGCTATTAACTACATTTCCTAAATTTATCTTCATTTGCTTTAATAATAAATATTGGCAGATTAAAATGATAATATCCTGAAATTTTAGGATCTAAAACTTTATAAACTTTTTTAATTTAATCTATTTAAAGTAATTTCAAATAATATATAAAATCAAAGCTGTTTCTATATAAATTCAATCCATTTATTTATTATTGTCATGATAACATTAATTTATGTATACTTAAAATTCCTCTGAACTTGAAGTTAATTTAACAGCACAAATAGAATACTTAAAAGAAGATATTCTTAATTAAAATAATACACTAAAATATTTTAGGAAATTATAACAACAAAATAATTAAATTAATTCACTTTGAATTAACAAATCTTTGAACAACATGAAGACTCACAAGATTGCTTAAGAAGTTTAATATAATCAGCATCTTTTTATTGAATTATATACTATTTGGATGATATTTATTCCAATTTTTCATCAATAAATTAAAAAAAAAATGA